AAAATTAGCGATGAGGTAATTACTAATTATTACAATTATTAGGGTTCCTAATTCCTTCCATGAATGCATATAAAGAGGCCCTGAGTTAAATGTGTGTTGCCTCAGTCCTGATGCCAGTTCTTCAGACAAACCTAAGCTAAAGGAGCAACAGTTAAAATGTCTAGGAAGACAAGGTTTAGCCTTTCTGTTACTTTTTGCGTTCTCTGTTAATATTTCAGAGACCCACAACTGAGGTGGATTTCATACATATAATGCAAATTCTGCAACATAAATCTCTGCATGATGACCAGATTTTAGTCTTCTAGCTAATACTTTAGTACTTCCCTAAAACTGATAGAAGCATAAGGCCCTTATTCATTATCACAGAATTTAACCATAATTTGAATTTGCTTTATGTGAGCAAGAAAATGGGATGAATATGGAACATTTTTTCATCTCTACAAATTTCTTTCAGAAGCAAGAGATCTCTGTTCTTCCATTGTGCTGATGTTGTCTCTGTAATTTCTGCCCCCTGTAGGACTGATCATTTTCCCTCCCAAAACAGCAATTTTTTTTCTCATTAACTCTAGACTAAAACATAGGGTTTTCACTTTTATTAAACATTTTATTTTTTGAGACAGTCTCGCTCTGTTGCCCAGGCTGGAGTGCAGTGGCGTGATCTCGGCTCACTGCATCCTCCACCTCCCGGGTTCAAGCGATTATCCTGCTTCAGCCTCCCAAGTAGCTGGGACTACAGGCATGTGCCACCACGCCGGGCTAATCTTTTGTATTTTTAGTAGAGATGGGGTTTCACCACGTTAGCCAGGGTAGTCTGGAGCTCCTGACCTCATTATCCGCCTGCTTCAGCCTTTCAAAGTGCTGGGATTACAGGCGTGAGCCACGGCAGCCGGCCCCTATTAAACATTTTTAAATTAAAGTCATAAATCGTTAATTGACCTTCATAGGTTAAGAACAACTATTTTCTCTTCAGGGAATAGCTTATCTTGTTAAGGTGTCAGAAGGAGACTTAAGAAAAGCCATTACGTTTCTTCAAAGTGCTACTCGATTAACAGGTGGAAAGGAGATCACAGAGAAAGTGATTACAGACATTGCTGGGGTAAGAGTACTGGATATTCTGAATTTCTTTTTAGTTGGCTTTTTTTGTGACTTCTAGGAAATTTTCATCCAGCTAATACTGAGTATTTAGCATGTGCCAAGTACTGCACTAGGAAGTATAAGGGAATGGCCTGGGAGGATCAGAGCGTTTCAGGTGAGGAGATAACGCTGACTTTTCAGATTGTCAGGCATGGACGTTTCAGGAAAGAAAAGGACACTTTCAGTTCCTCTATTTTATTTTTTTTGAGATGGAGTCTTGCTCTATCGCCCAGACTTGAGTGCAGTGACACAATACCAGCTCACTGCAACCTTCTCCTCCCGGGTTTAAGCGATTCTCCTGCCTCAGCCTCCCAAGTAGCTGGGGTTACAGGTACCTGCCACCACATCTGGCTAATTTTTCTGTTTTTAGTAGAGATGGCATTTCACCATGTTGCCCAGATTGGTCTTGAACTCCTGACCTCAGGTGATCTGCCCACCCCACCCTCCAACTCAGCCTCCCAAAGTGCTGGGATTGCAGGAGATGGGAGCCACCGTACCTGGCCTTCAGTTTTAAGATTTTATAAGATGCTTTTCTTTGGCAGTTAAATCAGTTTTAGCAGATGTCCTGTTCTTATACATGAAAACTATTTTGCCAGCTGTATATAAACAAAAGGTGTATCCAATTTACAGTAACATTTATTAAATAAAATGGAACACTCCGTCTTTGGATACCCTTGTCGAAACTCACCTCGGAATCACTATTGCTTAAAAATTTAAGACTAATGGTAATCCTCTTAAATTTTCCGATATTGTAGATTTTTTAAACCGGTATCATTGGCATTTTTACTTGGCGAAAATTTTAGAAAGGGCATTTCCCCTTTCCAGGGCAAAGAGAAATCAGTCTCCTTGGCTGATCTTGGTCACTGCTCTGAGGAATCATAGTCACTGGGGGAAAATTTAATGTTCATCCACTGACCAGAACAAGCTGTAATAATCCACTTGTGCCCAAACCTGGGAGATTGTTTCATATACTTCACAAAGCAGCCATGAAAGGGCTTTAAAATCACAGCTAGCTGTCTGTTACCACCTTGGTTGCTTAGTAACTGGAGTTACTCTGGACCTCCCTTTTCATTCTCCCAGTGCCTTCCCAACTTTGCAGCATTATCAAGGCATTAGCTAGGTATTCCAAGTGTGGAACAGAAGGGACTGGGGGCAGGGAGGCAAATTGGCAGTCTTGTCTAGTCTTAACCTAACGGTTCAATTACCTAGGTAATACCAGCTGAGAAGATCAATGGAGTATTTGCTGCCTGTCAGAGTGGCTCTTTTGACAAACTAGAAGCTGTGGTCAAGGTAAAATCAGCTTACTAACTTTTGGGAAAGTATTAAGTGATCATACCAAAAAAATTTTTTTTAATTATAGGACTTAATAGATGAGGGTCATGCAGCAACTCAGCTCGTCAATCAACTCCATGATGTGGTTGTAGAAAATAACTTATCTGATAAACAGAAGTCCATTATTACAGAAAAACTTGCTGTAAGTAGGTACTTTGCACATGTCAATGAAACATTTATACCTGAAGGATGCTAATGTGAGTTTTTCTTGCAGGAAGTTGACAAATGCCTAGCAGATGGTGCTGACGAATATTTGCAACTGATCAGCCTTTGTGCAACTGTGATGCAGCAGTTATCTCAGAACTGTTAACAATGAATAAGATACTGGAATATTTTTTTGGCAAATAATGGGGTTTATAAAAATAAAATGACCAAAAGCACCTTTAAAGTGAATATACAATTTATTTAACATTCAAACTTCATTAAGACATGTGCAATATGGCAATTTTACTGGGGATTAAACCCTACCTAGGATGATTGCTTGCTGGGGCTTAGCAACAGGGTCCAGTTCACACTTAGCACTAATTAAATACTTTATTGAATAAATACAATACCAAACAAAATGCAGTCAAATGCTTTCTAAAAAAAATTAAAGGCCTTTCTACTCAGGCTAATGACAAACACAATAAAGGCAGATATGCTAGTTTAACATAATTCGCTGATTTTATACAGCACTTATATCTTTTAGTCCACAAGTATATTATTAAATGATAGAGAACATCTAATACAACCATTTCTACAGAACTAGGAAATAAATTTCTAAGAAAGAAAGATTTTACAGACCCCATCTTTTATACCCACCCCAACAGTCTAACTCTAAAGAGGATAAAGCCAATGCTTTTCCTCACAAGAGCTCACGACTAATGTCGCTTTGCTATCAAAATCTGTATTTCTGATCCGTTATGAGCATTGAGACAAGATTCAAATATTCCCAAAGAAAGAAGCACAATGCACGTTGTGATCGCCTATTCAGCAACAGCGAGCACTGCATCCAAAACTCTCATCCCAGGAATTAAATAAGATCAGCCACATTCATGGGCATCTCCTCCACTGTAGTATTGTAGAAAGTCTCAATGTCACGAAGAATCCTCTTGTCTTCTTCGGTAACAAAGTTTATAGCCACACCTTTCCTCCCAAATCGACCCCCTCTGCCAATTCTGTGTAAGAAAAAAGAAACAGCAGTCAGAATGTTACTTCCTGTGTAATTTATAAACTACTGAACATGACGATCCACTTGTTAACCATCAGCTGCTGTTTACTTATCAAGGTTATAGTTCGTGCTTCTAACTGGAGCACTAGCTGCTAATATCTAGAGAAAAAAATCTTCCTTTGCAGTTAGTGCCAAAAGGATTCAAGGCTTGTCTGGCTGCAAAATGAGATTTTATCAGGCATCTTGAGCATTATTACAAAGCAGATGACAAGTATTGTGTTTGGGGTAGTGAAATTAAAGCCCATACCAAAGTGGGCCAGCCAAGAGCAGGTGTCAGCCTGGGACAGATGTAAACACCAGAAATAAAAGAGCAGTTATGTAATCCATTTCGACGCACCTCTGGAACTGTAAACTGTAAACAAATGCTGCAAAGGTTAACTATTTTCTAAAACTTACTTTTTTCCAGTGGGAAAACAATTATTTGGTATGGTAACCCAAACTTATCACTGCTTTTTTGCTCAGTTTCACACGTTGTAACTCAAATTACTCAAAACGTGTTTAACCTCCAAAACAGCTACCTTCCATGTTAGAAACCAGACAATACAAACCACCTAGTAAGAAAGGTTCCCTAATACTAACACACAAAATGCCTTAGCTGGAACAACTTAAAATAGTCAAATAATCATGACAAAAGAAAAACAAATATAAATACCGACTCGCTCTTTATTCAAACAGTGTGCTGTTTCGCTTATGATTCCACGTCCTAAATTACGTCAACGCCGTTTCTGAGTGCCATCTCGTCATCAACTGCTGCTATCGACTCCTGTATTTTTTAAAAAGTCTTTTTTTACATCATATAACAAAGTACAATTCAATTTATTTAGGGATAAAGCCACTATAACTAAACCAGGGTTCACTCAAATTGCTATCAGACGACACCACGAAAATCCCAACTATAGAAAAATCACCAAGAAAAAGCACATGAACACACCATCACTAAAAGCTCAAGCATAAGCTAAGACCAACAATTGTGGAAAAAAAAAAACCTACGTCCACAATCTGGGCAATGTTTACAAGTTTTCCCACTTTGTTCTCTTCTGCCTTCCCTAGCACAAATTTAATTACAACATCTTACTGAACACTATTGACTTTACTCAATCTATTCCTTGATTTGACGTTACCCTTTCATACAAATGACATTAGAAAAACGAAGTTTTTTTCAATACAGTCAAGATGCTGGCTTCTCACCTGTGAATATAGTTTTCACGATTGGTAGGTAGATCATAATTTATAACCAAAGACACTTGTTGCACATCAATCCCGCGAGCCTGAAACACAATGGCATATGTTAAAAGTTATAATCCAAAAAACTGGACACCTATGTAATGTAGGCCACAAAATAGTAGCAAACTATAAGTGGTATAGTCCACTGTGGAGCGTGGTCTTTATTTTATTTTTCCAAATAGCCCAAGCTGGTAAAGGTTACTTAATAAACCTTACCCACAAAAAGTTAACTTTTGGTAGACTTTTAAGCATTGAGAGACTTACCAACAAGTCAGTAGTTATCAGAACACGGCTTGACCCTGATCGGAATTCCCTCATGATAACATCTCTCTCCTTCTGGTCCATGTCACCATGCTGCAAATTAATAAACCTTAATTCAAGAATCACCAGTCAGGTCAGTATTTAATTCTAATTAACATGTATGAGACCAAGCGTCCCTGGCTGCTACAAGAATAGCAGACAGGTATAGTTAAGAAACAACGTTATTTTGAGCAGGGGGAACGACAACACAGCACTTAACAGCTATATTGTAGTCTAAATCCTGCTTTAATGGAAATCTAGACATTTTAATTTAGAAAACCTCTTACCAGAGCAGAAACTGTGAAGTCTCTGGCATGCATTTTCTCAGTCAGCCAGTCTACCTTGCGCCTTGTATTGAGAAAAATAACAGCCTGCGTAATTGTCAGCGTCTCATACAAGTCACAAAGTGTATCCAACTTCCATTCCTATGTTTAGAAGAGACAGTTAACAGTCATTTAGTTTCCAACTTTCTTCAGGTAAAAATTCATTCTGACCCCAGTTCAAATACAGGTGCCCCCATCCCCAGTGTTTAAAAAAAAAAAAAAATCACTCTGGCCTAGGTATGGTAGCTTATATCTGTACTCCCAACACCTGGGAAGCAGGTGGATCACCTGAGCCCAGAAGTTCCAGACCACCCTGGGTAAGACAGTGAAACCCTGTCTCCACCAAAAATACCAAAAGTAGCCAGTCTCGTAATACAGAAATTTTAGAAATTAAATTCATTCTGCAGGTCTAATGAACTATTGCACCAAATCTTAAGACAAAGGACACTGGACATTAAGAAAGAGGTCCACCCGAGTCTTTACAATCTAGTGCTGTTACTTTTCTTCTTGTGTGTACTCTGCTAGCATTATTGCAAAAACCAAGACACAGTCCTAGTATCTGCAATTTTAGCACAGTGCTTATACAAGAAGGTAAAATAACATCTAACAATCAGTCAGTTACCTCTCTCTCAACATTAATATAAAACTGTTTGATTCCTTCAAGGGTCAATTCTTCCTTTTTCACCAGAATTCGAATTGGATCTCTCATGAATTTTTTGGTCACTTCCAACACATCAGTTGGCATTGTGGCAGAAAGCAACACAACCTTAAAAAGAGACAATTATGTTGAAGCACAACTTATGCAATAATACCCAAAGAAAAACGTTTGAAGCCAAGCATCTGTCTTACTACGGAATGTAGTTAAGACAAATAGTTATGCATCAAGTGCTTTCAGCAGGGGGAACGACAGTAAAACATGTCAGATGTATTCTAACAGTACCTGCATTAAACCACATCTCTACCTTTAAAGAGAGGGGTGAAGTAATATCCTTACCTGAATACTTGTATTTAGTTTTTGGAAAATCTCATAGATTTGATCCTTAAACCCACGACTCAACATTTCATCTGCTTCATCCAAAACAAACATTTTGATCCATTTTGGAGCTGTCAGAAAAAAGCCGTATGTCATTTCTAGATCTACTCAGTGATAATATGACTTTTCAACTATGTACAGTTAAAAAAAAATCATACACTTAAAGACAATACTTACAAAGGTATCTTCTGTTTAACATATCAAACACTCTCCCAGGTGTACCAACAACAATATGTGGTGCTTCAGCCTGCAGCTTTTGCATTTCATTTCGAACATTTGTTCCACCAATGCAGGCATGGCAAGTTGCTCCCATATAGTCTCCAAGTGCCAGAATTACCTTTTGGATCTAAAAACCAAGGCTTAATTATTATCTTGCAGAATTCCAGGATCAATGACTAATTTTTAAAGCATAATGGCAAATATAATCTGGTCTGCCAACAGCTTTTATGCATGCACAGCACAAATCTACTTCCAAGCTTAAAATGCAGACTGACCTAACTGCTTCAATGTAAAATTCCCTTAATGTCTTTCTTGTGCCTTGTCAGACTTGGGATGCTGTTGCCCCACACATGAGCTAGACAATTCAAGAATAACATTTCCTACATTATTCTTCACACTGTGTGTAGGAAGGAATACATAGTGAAATATATGTTCTGTAATTACAGCTAGGGCAAATGTTGATTTTTTTATCCTCCCCAGAAGGTATTGTGCCCTACATAATCTTGACCTCAATAAAGCCTACAGCTTTATTAGGAAGGTTTAATTCAAAGCCAATATAGCAGTGAGCTTTGAAAACATAGCATGCAACAGATGCATCACAAACTACGGAGACAGTCAAATGGTAACATGTCACTGCAGTTTTCATGTTGCACAACTGCATTCAAACTTAAAAAATGGGGACAGATCTAGCACATCCAGAGAGCTTCGGATTCTCAATCTATTCGTATACAACCCTACAAACCATACCTGCATACACAGTTCTTTTACAACTTTCAACAAAAACTCCCTGCATGCATGGACAATTAAATGGAGGGACCTGGTAGGACCAATTTATACTAAGTTTTAAATTCTTCACAGTTGTGAAACCTGAAACCTATGCAACACGCAAGCAGTTTTTTTGAACTACACTATCAATACCTGTTGAGCCAGTTCTCTGGTGGGGGCCAATACTAGTGCTTGGGTCTCCTTGAACTCAATCTCCAACTGTTGCAGGATGGAAATAGCAAATGTGGCTGTCTTGCCAGTACCTGACTGAGCTTGAGCAATCACATCATACCCTAAAAAAAGTAGGATACATATTTACCGATCCCACATCAAATTGTCACTTCTACTTCACACCATGTATTCCATTTGGAACATGAATTATGCCCAAATAATCAAGTGATCAGCAATGAGTATTCTCTTCATTTCAGGTCAGTCCCGAAAGATGATTGCCATCATTTCACTTTAAGGAATACAAACAGGTGCTAGTCCCCCAGAGGTTACTTTCCCTTTCATGGTTCACATCTATGTAGAACAAAAATTCATTTCCTAAGAGTTTCTTTTACCTTTAATACAGGGAATAATAGCTCTCTGCTGAATAGCGGAAGGCTTCTCAAAACCGTAAGCATAGATGCCCCGAAGAAGAGACTCCTTTAAATTCATATCATCAAAGTTATCAACAATCTCATTCCAGTTGCTCTGTAAGTTAGAAAAAAATAATGCACGCATAAATGAGATGAACACACTCACCTTTTCAAAGCTTCAAGATCCAAAACCGTTTCTTACCTCGATGACACCATCGGGGTCCATTCCCTCTGGGCCGCCATGTTCTCTGCTGACAATAACACTGCAGTCAGACATCATCCCTTCCAAGCCTCCTTAACTCCATCTTAAAGGGACAGCCCTTTGCAACCCGTCTCCGCACGTTACCCTTCCGTGCCCGAGCTAAAGCAGCCGCTGCAGGGCGAGTATCACATTGTGCGCCTTTCTACAGGTTAGGAAAGCAGCCCCCGAGGATCGAGCGTAGGGCGCTCCCGTTTCGGCGGCGGAACGTCTCGCGAGAGCTCCGCGCGCTGAGCTCCGCCCCCAACAATGCGCAAGCCGGGTGATTGACGCGGGCGGAGCGGCCTGGCGAGGGCGAAGCCAACGGTTTGCCGGCCACCACTGCCGGTCCGGTCGTCGCCTCCGCGCGGTGGCGAGTGCAGACCGCTGCCTCCAACCCTCCGCCCACTGAAGCCTGTGACCCCCAAGTCGTACGGCTGACCGAAAATAAAAGTTCAGGTCCTAGTTACACTCTGCCGAACGCGGACTGCGCCACGGGTTTTTGCGGCTTGTTTGCCGTCCTCTACACTGGGAGAGGAAGCAGCTGAAATTTCATCATGTCTTAGGGAGGAAAAACGCCCTTTGGCCAGTTTCCGCACCCTCATCCTGTCTCCCCACAATCCGGGCCCTACCCATCATGGAAGCTTCGCGAAGGGCACAGGGGTGCTGTATCCCAAGGAAGCGTCCACGAATTTTTAGTTTCTTGTCTCCGTGCCATCCACTATCACCTCCCCTGGCGCCCTATGACCTTCACTACAGACCGCGACCGCCAACAGAGCGCCATACCTGTTATAATCCGCAGAGCCACCAGACATGATCCGATAAACCCACTCAGCGCCCGACTGAAAAGACAGCACCGCCGCGCCACCCGTTTTTTATAGGCTCGTGGCCGGAACCCGTTTCTCGCGGATGAATTTTCTCACCGTGCTGCGGTCAGCCACAAAATTGTGATCCTGGGGTCATTACTTCGGACAAAATCCTAAGCAAGTCTGTAGGAAAATCCAAATGTGGTCATTTCTAGATATTACGGGGTCGCTGGAAATCCTAGGGCCCAGGGTTGGGTTGGGACTCTTTGCCTCGCGGCGGAAGGATATTGTTGCAGCGTTTCTCAAACGCTCCGCGCCCGCCCTGCTCCTACGGGGTTTCCGCGTCCCTGACGCAGAGGCGGGCCGAGGAGCCCAGCTGGAGCCGGAGGCGGAAGCCCGAGGCGCTGTTCGCCGGGCGTCCGGGGCTTCCCCCGGGCGAGGTGTCCCGGTTCTCGGCTGGCTGCCGGCGCTCGAGTGCGGGAGGGGAATTCGGTTATTCCGCTTGCTCCCACCGCTGTTTAATTTGCCGATGAAGACCTGCCTGGCGTCTAGCCTGACGTTAACATCCATTCAGCTCTCGGAAACGTAAAATTCCTGCTAGGGAAAATGTCGGCCACCCAGCGAGTCCCGGACGGTCCGGTTTACCGGTACATTTTGCAGCGCGAGGGAAAAAAATGGAGTGTCATTTGCAGATGTCTCTGGAATAGCCAATTCTATTCTCATATCGCTTCCAGTGTTTCGTTCTCTTTTTTTAAAAGAAAGCTGATTTTAACCTAACAGGTGTGAAGAATGCCTAAAAAAAATCAAACTTTTGCAAATGGAGAGAAGCTAAGGAGCAGTAATTTTCCTTGGAACGCACAAATTTTAATGGACGCTTTGGCAGCTACAGCTCTGTGCCGCTTTGGGACTACATCGGTTTTGATTCCGTCTGTATTGGTCATTTTTTTAAAAGGCTTTGAGTTGTGATTGCCGATG